AAATCCTCACCACTGGACCAATAAACCACATTCTCATCAACGGAGAAAAGATTGAAGTTGTCAAGGACTTCATTCTTCTTGGATCAACTATCAACATTTGCGGAAGCAGCAGTCAAGAGATCAGACGACGTACTGCATTAGGCAAATCTGCCGCACAGGAACTTTTTAAAGTGTTGAAGAGCAAAGATAGCTTGAGGACTAAGGTGCGCATGACCCAAGCCATGGTATTTTTAATAGCCTCACATGGATGCAAAAGCTGGACAGTGAATAAGGAAGACCTTTGATGCCTTTGAATTGTGGTGTTGGAGGAAAATACTAAAAGTGCCATGGACTGCCAAATGATCTGTTTTGGAAGAAGTGCAGCCAGAGTGCTCCTTGGAGACCAAGATGGCTAAACTTCATCTCTCATACTTTGGACATATTGTTAGGAGAGAACAGTCGCTAGAAAAGGATGTCATGCTGGGTAAGATAGAGGATCAGAGAAAAAGAGGAAGATCCCCAACAAGATGGATTGGCCAGGTGGCATCATTGATGGCGTCAAGTGTGGCAGCGGTAGTGAAGTTGGCCCAGGATCGGACATTGTTTCGTTCTGCTGTGCATGGGATTGCTGAGTCGGTTCCGACTCGATGGCACTTGACAACAACAAGTCTATCAATTACTGAGTGTATTAAACTCTCCAAATATAATTGTGGGTTTGTCCATTTCTCCATTTAATTCTGCCCATTTCTCTTCATGAAGTTTGAAGTTTGTTATTGGGCACAAAAACATTTATCACTATTATGTTTTCCTAATAAACTGCCCCTTTTATCAGTATAAAATGTTACTTTTTCTAATAATACTTTGCCATTAAATCTACTTTATCTAACACAATAACTATTCCAGAGTCCTGCTGTGGTGCTGTGGGATAAGCACTGGACTGCTAACTGTAAGGTTGCTGATTCAAACCCATCAGTCATGCCTCAGAAACATTACATAGGGTGACTATGAGTCGGAACCAACTCCACACAGTACTTAACAATAAGAAAACATCTATTCCAGCTTTATATCTTATATTTTTTACTAGCACGTTACATATAGTCTCAATATTTTTATTTTCAACTAATGTATCTTTATATTTAAAATGCATCTTTTATAGACAGCATACAATTGGGTTGCTGATTTAGAAATCAATCTGTAATTTCTAATTTTAGGGTTTATTTTATTTACATTTAAGGTATTATCCTATAGGTTGGGTTTGGATATACCAGTCTATTTGTTTTTTATCTCATCTATTTTTTTGTTCTTCTGTTCTTTTTTAATTGTCTTCTTCCCTTTTGTCAGCTTTTTAGTTATGTTTCTTTGTAGTCCTTTTTTAAAGCGTTTTCTGTAGAAAATACAATAGACAGTCACTTCAATGAGCCTTGCCTTTAGTATCCATGCCATTCCCACACTATCAGGGTTGGGCTGTGTGACCAACAGAATATGGAAAAAGTGATGGCATGTCACTTCCAACATTAAATTATAAAAAGACAATGAAGCTTCCATCTCAGTGATTCTCTCTCAGATCTCAGATGGTTATAGAAGGTTATTAAGTTGGAATCAGCACTATGTAGAGGGTCACATGAAGCCTATAGCCAACTGCCACATGGGTGATCTTTGAGGCAGATCACCTAGGCCCAGTGAACAGCTTAACTGCAACATTGTAAGAAATCCTGAGTCAGAATCACCCAGTTCAGTTAATTTTAAAAATTCCTCACTCTCAGAAATTATGTGACATATTTAAATATTTGTTGTAAAGGTGTTAAGTTTTAGAGTAATTTTCTACACAACAATAATAAAGACAGCTTTACATAAAACATAAGACTTCTGCAAACATTTTACCTCTTCTCTTTTACTATAGCTGTCAGATGTATTACATTCATTTTACTGACTATATTGTGTCTCCCTAAAATATATGTGCTTAAACCCTAACCCCTATACTTGTTGTGGTGCTGTGTGTGAATGCGCTGGACTTCAAAAATCAGTTTGAACCACAAGGTTGGTGGTTCAAGCTTACAGGCCGCTCCCTGGAAACCATATACAAGTTTACTATGAGTCAGTACCAACTCAATGGCACTTAACAACAACAATGATATCTACGGATGCAAAGAATCTATGGATGATCTATCTAATGTAATATAATTGGAGGAGTTAGGTCTGCTGAGTGCCTTCAGGCTGAGGATTATGGTACAGTGGTACCCTCTGTGAGCATTTATCAGCAGCCTTTAAAGAGTTTTACAACACTACAGGAGCAGGGTAAAGGCTAGGCCAAGGGGCCGAGGATCAGAGAGGGGCCTGCCTGCAGGCACGACTGACAAGAAGCTGTCCTGACTGTAAGAACTAGGTCTTGGAACATTTCTGACCCTGAATTGTAACCTGTTAACTTCCCTACTAAACCTCATAACTTTGAGTACGATGTTCGAGTTGTGTGTGGCCAGTGCAATAAATTTATTAAACCCAGCTGACAAGCAGAAGAGTGCTGTTAGATGGATGGTTGTATCTTTTTTTGTGTGCAGTTGGCTTCAGGATTGAAATTCACAGCAATGTCTCTAGATGCATGGAAGAACAGGGCTTTGTAAAAGAAAAAATGAAGGAGTATTGGAAGTGAAACTTTTGATTGTTAGGTTACTCTGGTGGTTAACTAATGGTTGAAAGGAATGTAAGAAGTATGCTGCAAAAGAAGGGAGAAAAGCCACTACCTGGGGAAAAAGCCAGGGCAAATAAACAAGAAGGCTGATAGTGAGCCAGGGCCTGCTTGATCCGGTCAGTCATATTTGTTGTTGTTGTTAGGTGTCATCAAGTCGGTACCGATCCCCTAGTTACCTTATGCACAGCAGAATGAAACACTGCCTGATCCTGGGCCAACCTCACTACTGTTGCCACGCTTGAGTCGATCGATGCTGCCACTTGGCCAATCCATCTTGTTGGGGATCTTTCTCTTTTTCTCTGACCCTCCACCTTATCTTCTCCAGTGACTGCTCCCTCCTGACAATATGTCCAAAGTATGAGAGGCAAAATTTGGCCATCTTGGCCTCTAAGGAGCACTCTGGCTGCACTTCTTCCAAAACGGATCTACTGGTTTTTTTGGCAACCCATGGCACTTTCAGTATTCTCCTCCAACACCATAACTCAAAGGCATCAATTCTTCTATGGTCTTCCTTATTCACTGTCCAGCTTTCACATGCATATAAAGTTATTAAAAACACCACGGCTTGGGTCAGGCGCACCTTAGTCCTCAAACTGACATCTTTGCTCTTCAACACTTTAAAAAGGTCTTGTGCAGCAGATTTGCCTAATGCAATATGCCATTTGATCTCTTGACTGCTGCTTCCATGAGTGTTGATAGTTGATCCAAGAAGAATGAAGTCCTTAACAACTTCAATCTTTTCTCTGTTGATAAGAATGTTGTTTATTGGTCCAGTGGTGAGGATTTTTGTTTTCCTGACATTGAGATGCAAT